GACTTATTTGAAGATTCTGGAAAAGCAGAGTAGGAGGAAGATTAGGAAAGTTTTGAGTTCAAAGTACTCACCACTGGTGAGTCTACTCTTCTGTGCAGCTCCCAGGCATGGGGATTCTCTATGCCTCCCTCCCTCCCTCTTTTTCTCCCTCCCTCCCTCCTTTTCTCCCTCCCCCCCCCACCCTGTGTCTTGAAACTTGTTCTGTAGACATGGTTGGTCTTGAACTCACAGAGATCTGCCTGCCTCTGCCTCCTGAGTGCTGGGATTTAGGGTTAGAGCCAAATGAAGTCTCTTAATGCTCTGAGGGACTGTGAAAATTCTCCAGTCTCTTTTCTTGTCTTATTTTTGCTTTCTCACTCCATGGCACCCAGATCCCATGCAGCCCCATACAACAGTAGCAGGGGCGGCACCCTTATCTCTTAGGATACAAAAGGTAAACACTAAAGAAAGGAAATAATTCCTCTTCAATTGGAACTGCCGTGACCCAACATATCCCCTTGGCATTTTTACTTCATTTTGGTCTCATGCAATTTAGCTAAAATTTGATGATGGCACAGCAGACTTCCTGTGGTCCCTGCTTTCTGGCAGAAGCACCCAAACAGAAAAGTCCTGAAAAGAAGTGTCTGGAGTCCCACTGAAAGATCTGTAAAGGAGGTTCTTCTTACACTTCAAGCAGAATATGCATGGATCTGACTCAAAGTGACACAAAGAGATTTTTTTAAAAAAAAATAATGACTATTAATGCCAATATTAAAATGTAATACTATGATAGATTCTGTGTGATATTGCCATGCATGCATATAGTATGTGCTAATCAAATTGAATGTCCATTCTTGACCTTTACCCCTTCCTGTACCCCTCTATTCCTTAGCAATATTTGAAGTCAATTTTTTGAGTTTTTACAAATGAAAGAATATGTGGTACTTGGTCTTTTATTGTGTGGGAAGAGATTGGAAGGGAAAAGGCACCACAAATTCTCACATTGGCCGCTGGATGGCATAAGTCTGGCAAACTTTGAATAGCACTACTAATCTTTTTAAACAATGAACCCAGAAACTGCAGCCCACTTGCAAGTCAGAACCTACTTACTGCCCAATTGCTTCCCGAAATGAAGACTAAGACTACAAGCATTCTTGTTAAAGCGGAAATAGGAAATAATATTATTTAAAATGTTCAGGATACTTTCCAAAATTCCTGGGTATATGAATACTCTTAACTTACAAGAGAAAGAAATTCAAAGGTATCAACACAGCGATAGCGCGTCTTGGGAATTTGACACAAATTGAGTTATTGTGAATCTTTGACAATTTATTTTAACCAATATATAAGAAAAATATGATGCTTTAATAAATGTTTATATTGTGAAATGAAATGGCTTTTTGTTTTTGTTTGTTTTGTTGTTGTTGTTGTAGATAGGGCTTTGCCTTGTAGCCCAGGCTAGCCTCTAAGTACTGCGAGTCTTCTACCTCAGCAACCCCACACCTCCTTTTATTCTTCAGCATTTTATTGGTGTATATTCATTGCATATAGCATTGGGTTTCATATATGCAATTTCTTTTAAGTATGCCATTTGTACCCACTCCCATTCTTTCCTTTTAATTCTTCACTGTCTTCTCTCTTCCTGCTGGTCTCCTCCCTTCCTCTAGTCTCATTTCATTTCTGATTTTATGTTTTTTATATACACATGTTTTTATGTATCTATAAAGAATTCTAGGGCTCATACATGAGAGAAAACAAGAGCTATTTGTCTTTTTCCACCTGACTTTGTCAAATATGATCTCCAGTTGCACCTATTCCATTGTGTATATTTGTATGTTTCCTTTAGCCACTCATCTATTGTTGGGCACCTAGGCTGACTTTATAACTTGAGGTATATAGATAGCAGTGCTAGAAATATGGGTGTGTACCTACATCTGTGATATGACTTCGGGTCTATACTCAGAAGTGGTATAGCTAAGTTATATAATATTTTTATTTTTGGTGATTTAAAAAAATAACCTCCATACTTATTTCCTTCGTGGCTGTATCAAGAGACACAATTTTAACAAAACAAAGCTAAAAATCCCCAGAATGAACAACATACCACATTTTAAAATAAAGACAGGATTAGCAGCAGTGCTACATTGAGCAGTATTGAAGCACAGGGCAAGGACAAATCAAGTAATAGCCATGCTATCTACAACATGCAGAAGAAAAAAACAGAAAGAAATTAACAGAAGTTCAAACAATAGTGGGACAATGACAAAAACCCTAGTGTTCTTGACTTTAGGACTCCCAGAAGAAAGGAAGAGTGAAATGAAGGAAATGTCTTGAAAAAATAGTTAAAAAATAATTCCAAAGTTTAATGAAAGTCTGAAATGTGTGGACAAGTTCCCCCCAGCACTTGGGAGGATGAAGCAGGGTGATCAGGAATTGGAGGTCAGCCTAGAGAGCTTGTCTTAAAGAAAACAAAACAGAACAAAAAGGGGCTTAGGGTATATTTCAGTGGTAAGTGCTTGCCTAGCATATCCAAGACCCTGGTTTTGACTGATTTCCAGAACTGGAAACAAAATTCTCCCACCCTTGCAGAGCCTTTTGAAGGGTATGTAGTGGCTCACTGGAGAAGGGGGCCTCAATTTCAAGGCCAATCTTGGCTTCTTAGCTGTAAAACTTCATTATGAAACCTCAACAAGCATCTATCCCTAAACATATAACAAAAGAACTGATCTCCATCAACAGGAGAAGATATCTGAAATCAAGCAGACAATAGGATGCATTAAAGATTAGTTAGTGATTACACAGCTGTTTCTTATAAGAAAATAAGGGAAATCCAAAGTGCTGAAACAAGATCATTGTCATCTTGGGACTTTTGTATTAGGTCGAATACGATTTAGAAATTAAGTAAAAATATTCTCATGTACATTCTAAAATTGCAACTCAGAAAATTCATTGCCAGCAGATGCACTCTATAGTGGTCACTGAGGGATGCTCTTTACACAGAAGTGAAATGCTAGAAATATGGACTAAAAATGAAAGATCAGGGGTGTGTGCTTACCGAAAACATGTGTTCTATGTCCAGCAAAGTGTGGTGACACATGACTATAATCCCAAAATTCAGAAATACACTTGAGGGGAGCCTGGGCTAAAGAGTGACATTGTTTTACTAAAGGAAAAGAGCCCAACAAAATAGTAAAAGTGAAACAAACACCCTAGTGTTAAACTCTCAGCGGTCTATTTCTCTATGGTGGAAGAAACTGTAGAAAGGAAGAAAGTTTTAGAAAACCCTGTCTCAACTTACAGTAGCAGTGGGCTCATGCACAAAACTGGCTCCATTAACATCCCATCATGGCCTAGGCGGTATTATTAGGCTGGCTCTACCCCTCCCTGAAGGAAATCTACCCTCTGATGTAGCCACTGCTGAACTGCTCTTGCTCATGTAACCTCCCACACATGCTCATGGAAGCAACCTCATTAAATATAGTGGAGCATACATACAAAACAACAGAGGTGTAGGTACAAAACAACAGAGGTTAGGAAGGGGACTTGTTGGGAATAAAAAAGCTTGGTGTAAGGAAAGGGATGATAATGTGGGGGAAATAAGCAACATGTATTATGGGTGTATGCAATTGTGATTTAAAAATAAGGATAATCCTGTTTTAAAAACTGAGTGCATTTATAAGGGTGGGACTGTAACTAACTCCAGTGGTGAAGTGCTTGCCTACCATGTGTGATGATCTCAGTTCAATTCCTGGCAGCCCCAAAGTTTACCTTTAAAATTGATCTGAGGGAAGCTCTGTGATGAAGAGTACCTGCTGCACTCAATATCCAGTCCTTGATAGCAGCAGAGATGGGCTAGTTTATTTCCTAGCCCATCTCTACAGCTAGTTATGCTTGGGTTTGATAGCAGCTGCCATTTAGTATTTGTGTGGCCTTGGGTGTGTCATATTGTAGCTTACACAGGTCTTTGACTAACATGAAGTGTTCCATGAGCACATACATGAAATTTAGTCTCTCTATTGTCAGCAGAGTTCTTTCTTCTTTCCAGAGAAGACTGCAGAGTAACCGATTTCATGGACCAGTTTCACATTCTCCTGTCTTTTGCTACAAAGGCTTGAATCAAAACATCCTCCTTATGAGTTTAGCCTTGTGGTGTACATGATTTGTAATCCTAATACTCAGGAGGCCAAGGTAAAGGGTGCTAGACTTACATGGTGAGACCCTGACTCAAAAAAACAAGGGATAGGGAAACAGCGCATCGGTGGTACACCTGCCTAGCATGTGCATGCCCCGTGTTTGAACTCTCAGCACTATAAGATGGTAACATCATTATGGGGTTAAGTGTTGATGATGATAATACATGAAAATCCATAGCAGATTGTTTCAACTAGTAAATTGTTCTTCACTCTTGCCCTGAAGCTATTGTTCTCATCAAGACTGTCCAAGGTACCATGCTCCTTTAACATTAGTGACATCTATAAACTATGACTACTACCTTGCAGACTTGTATTTGCAGTCATCCAAAACATATAACTTTGATAGCCAGGGCCAGCTCCTTCTCAGCTATTTTCAGAAACACACATTCTTCTAGGCTTCAGGCTTCCAAATTATAAACACAGGGACACCCTTCCACCCACACTTTGTCTATTAATCCAACTATTTTCCATGTCCTCATATAGTACTTTTGAGCCACTTCCAGAAAGATAGTCTACTGAAGGCATTCTACTTCCCAGAACAGTAAGCTCTACAGTAGCAGTCCCTGAGTTTTCAATTATTGTTTGCTCCAAGGAAACCTCACTCTCTGATATTCTAGTTGTTCTTATGGGCTTGACACATCATTTGATTACAAAAAGGCTGGTGTGAATAGAAATACAATGTATTAAGGATTAATATACCTGGCATATCATATTTGCTCAATAAATGTGATTTCCCTTTAAAACTTGTTTCACATAATGTTAGATTTGTTTATTATTTATCATCTTCCATCAATATAGTACAAAGGCATAAAGGCAGACACAAATTGCCCCTTTCCAGTGTTTTTATTGACACATACAACATTTACAAACCATTTTACAAGTTTCTTTACACAGGTTTACTGTTCATAAGAAAGATCAGAATTAGAGTACCAAAGACCAGAAATGAACAAACTTCATTAAGGCAAAGTCTTTATGCTCACCACATATACCCAAATGGAAAAGGCATTCAGTTCTCAAACGACTTACTTCAGTCTTATTAGTCCCAGTACCCTATGTGACCAGATACAACCCTATACTATAAACATCGTAAGAGATGTTCCATAGGAAAAGTAAAAGTAGTTGATCTTCAAATTTGAGAAAAAGACTATGTATATGTAAAATGGGAAGTTTTTAAAGTACTTTGTTTGATTCTTGAAACTTTAACAAATATAGATTGTGTGTAAAAAGAGAAGGAGAAAGAGGGTTCAAAGGCAGAAAAACTATTTCTTCCTAAGTCTGCCTGCTTTGTGTGCTCAGATGCCAGAGTTCTATTACTCTGAAAAAAGAACAAGACATTCTATCTCCAGTCAGCTCTAGGGTGCAAAGGTTAGTAACAGGAGACTAACCCTGGGAGGGAATGTGTTCATTTTATGTGCCTAACAGTACAATGTAAACTGCATCTCATCTAATGTGTTCTTACCATAAATTAACTTCCTGCATGGCCTTGGACAATTACATTTCTGTGCCTCAATTTTCTACTGTAAAATGAGAATTATAGTACTTTATGTCGAGGAGTGGAGGGAATAGAGCAGGTACTACAAACAGCCAGATGAATAGACAGAAAGTAGACTAGTAGTTGCAGGAACTGAAGGTGAATAGAGAACAGGTGTGACTGGTTTCTCTGCAGTGATAAAGACAGACATTTTCAAATTAGACAGCAGTGATGGTTGTGGAACTCAAAATACAGTAAGAAACACTGAATTGTACACTTTGAAAACTGGATTTTATGGTAAAGTGTACTTTAATAAAGCTATTACAATAGTTCTTTTAAAAGTAGAATACTAAATTGGTATAGAGTAAGTGCCCAATAAATGTTAACTATTAATAATCATAAAATTATTGTCCCTGTCAGTTCTATATTCATAACAAAAGCACAGACTCTAGAAAAGGATCTTTAATTTACATACATGGATCCATCAATATTCATACATTTAGTTCCATTCAACCGTCTCAGAAATTGACAGTCTAGTTAAGGATCACTTCAGTACTCAAACTGTACTAAAATATCAGTATGCAATGGATGACTCAACGGTACCCAAAAATATCAACTGACAAATTTTCATTTTCATCTCCAGGAAAAAGCAGGCATCTCAGATGCAGTAAGTCAACAGATTATTATATCTCCAAGTACAGGCTTATTAGCCTTCTAATCACATTTTTAGGGGTACTATTTATAAAAGACGAGTCAACAGCAAAATGATTACCACTCTTGATACATAACTTCACCCAACAAAAGAAAGATCCCACAACACAATGAAAAAAAACAAATTCAACTTATATAACTTTGAGGCTAAAATTCAAACAAAACACATAAATATAAAAAAAAAAAATCCTTATTGGATGGTGACTTTCAAGAACCATTCAGAACATTTAAATATGTTGTCATTGATAGTTTTTGTAATCTGAGAACCAATTAAATCAAGTCTTCACCCCTCCTATGGCTAAGCCATGTAACAACAATTGTCATGGTCTCAGATGTAGAAACAGCAGGTGATCACCCAAGCTGGCTATGATACCCATACACACACATTCTGCTTGAAATTCACCAGAAGCATGAAATGTCACCAACCTAGAATAGGAGTCCCTCTGTTGTAGGCTTCTGCCCTTCTAGTCTTCATTTCTAGAATCAACCATAAGCCTTTGCAACAAACCAAGAAAAGCTACATTACAACTTTCAGACTCAGGACTTCACTTGTCACAGAAAGCAACAGACATTTTGCATATATTTATCATTCGAATCTAGAAAAAAAGTAATTAATCTTCCAGTTCATCTACTTTTTTTTGGCAATGCCAAGGACTGAATCAACAGTACTATGCATGTCTGGCAAATGCTCTACCACCAAACTACACCCTCAGTCCTACATTTCAATTATATAAAACCATTTATCAAATTACCCAAGAGCAACAGATTAACACTCACAGGATCACACTGTCTTATATCCAATGTGTGTAACCCTCCAAATGCCCTTAAATTGTGGCGTTAGGGATTTCAGAATAAATGTTTCACCTGAGTAAAATCCAGTAGAGACTAAATCTCCTTTGAGAAGTATGGTTACTACATTATTATACTTTTGAGAAGTATGGTTACTACATTATTATACTTACTTGGGCAGATTACAAAAAAAAAAACTTAGAAAAAATATTTGAGTGGAAAGCTTAAAATTTTTCAGATAATGGAAAGAGAGAATTTATGACAAACCTCAAAAAAATCAACGTCAGTTTCAATTTTTTTTCTTACTAACTCAAGAGTGAAACACTTGATGTATCCACACAGGGTTTATAATTTAAAAAATAAATTACAATAAATTCAAATATATACCACCAAATCTTTAGACAAGGCTGGGATAGTGAGGGTAAACTCAGTAATGCTTTGTAACTCATCCCATGAACTCATTTGGCCTAGCATTGTTCATTTGGTTACTCTGAGAATGGGAAAAATTACATTTTTAGAATTATATTTATATGAAGGTAGTCTTTAAATACAAAATCAATAAATATTTAAATTCTGTGATAAAGAAAACACACGGAATAAGAAATTTCTATCTCTATAAGTAAGTGCATATTTACAATGAATGATCGGACTCCTAATTTTTGTCAATTAGAATTCTTCAATTGAAATAGAGAAGGTAACAGCTCTTACTACCTTACAGGAGTCCTACTTAGCTGCGAATCAGCCTGTCTGACATTCTGTTCCCTGAAAAACCTTCACACTTCTGTGCATAAATATCTGAGAGTATAGGTGGGTGCACATGTGCAAAATGTACATATCTAAAGGGGAGCTTACTAGGTTTACAAATAAAGTCTATAAAACACAAAATAAATTGCTATTCCCCAGCCAGAAACAAACAAACAAATACAAAAAACTCCATATATAATAAAAAAAAAATGCTGAGCCCACTACAGGAAAGGCAGCAGCTGTAAACTCAACTTACCCTTTGTCATGTTACATACACATCCGTCTGTTACCCAGGCTTCAGAACACTAGATTCTGTGTCCATTTGGTTAAATGTACACTTCTGATGTAGCCTTTCTTTCTAGTCTGAGGCTGGACCATACCAAATAATGAATAGGTCCTTTTAGCTATGCAATATGTAACCTATACCTTAAAAGAAAGTGCCCACATGACAATATGCATTACAAAACCATGAAGTAGATTTCTTCCTTCTGCTACTTAGAAAAGCTCAAACATTGGACCACTGAGAACATCAGTCAAAGGAAAGTTGCATGCCTGACTGCTAGCATTGTATATTCAGGAAAATATAAACAGAGGAAAGATTAAAAACTAGAGTACTAGCTGAGGTACTGTTATACATGACAGAAAGGCAACTATATAAAAATATTATTAAAAAGCTGTTTCTTTAGATGTCATTTGCTTAAAAACAAACAAAAAACAAACCAAGTATAGCACTACCTCTGACCAAACTCTGAAAATTAGTTAATGCATGTTTTCTCCTCCCACATCTATAAACCTTCCTAACCTGTCTTTGCCTTCTTAAGTTTGGGGGAGAACAGAAAAAGAAAATGGATACAGACTATTACTACTTATGAAAAGAGGCATATTCTAATAGTCATAAGGCAATGTGTTTAAGAGCTGCACGTGAACAAATATTCTCCAAGCTGAAGATGATCACCAACCCTTTTTAATTTGCAGAATGGATCCACTTGCTCCTCGAGTCACTGGTTGTCACCCTAATAGATCACAGTAACTTCATCATGCCTTAAGGAGGCATTTTACTATGTGTGGTATGCAAATGTATTTGAAAGAAATAACATTAAGAGAAAGAGGACAGTCTTGCAAATATCAGTTCCTTTATAAATGACAACAGTGCTATGTGGCTCCCTTTTAATACCTCAAGAATGATCAAGGAAGAGGGGAAGTTATCGGTAAGCTGTTCTTTCAGGTGAGCCTTCAGTTAATTGGTTTTCAATGCTTGTACCCAGTTTTACTATGGAGTGAATGTGAGTATCATCCAACTGATCACAAAATAGAATAAAAAGACTGGATACACAGCGAGAGCTTTGCGGTTTGGAGGCTGGCTGTCAGCAAGAAAGGCTGTAGATGCTAAAGAAACAAAAAGAAATATTTAATATAATCATGTTACCAGAACTACTATTTACTAAAGTCCAATGTGACTGGCATAATCTGGAACATAGAAGGACACTAAAAGTTTAGTTGTATTTGTGGCCCCTCAGAGAATAATATTTTAAGTTCAGTTATAGGGCAATTATGTATGGCTCAGTGCAGAATACTTGCTTAGTATATGAAAGGCTCTAGGTTCCATCTACAACTATATATACAAGCAGAGTTCATGTATCTGTCATCTTCCAATATCCCAGGGCAGCATCTTTCAAATACTAAAGCTTCAAATTTCTTTGACTATTTTGAATAGAAATCCTTCTTCAGCAGGTTTCTTGGCCTTTTGTGGAAAGTTACTTAACTATGTCTAGCAGGTATAAATATGTGTAAGGTTATTTGCTCCTATAATAAATAGTCTTATATTGCTTCTTTCATTTTTGTGAGTTAATTTGGGAAGGGGTCTGTTTTATTACTGTTGGTATCGACATTTTTTAAAAACAAGATCTTATGTGAACATACTATGTAGCCAAAGTTGACTTTGAACTCAAAATCCTCTTGCTGCTACTTCTCAAGTGCTAGGACTACAGGCCTGCAAGTTATCAGCTCTCTTTAAAGTCCTATTCTGTCCATCCAAGAAAAGTCTACTCATCTTCTCACTCATCAAGAATAACCCCTGTAAGTTAGGTAGAATGGTACAAATCTTCAATCCCAACAATTTAGGAGGCAAAGGCAGGAGGATTGAGTTCAAGGCCAGCCTGAGTGACATAAGAAGATCCTGTCTCAAAAAATGTGGATATGTACAGCTTTTTGTTCTGTTCTGTGGTGCAGAAGCTTGAACTAGGGCTTATAATTGCTAAGTAAGCACTCTACCATAAGTAGCACTATATTCCCATTCTCATTTTAAGTTTCATTGAGATAGAATATTGCTAAATGTCCAGTCTAGCCTTGAACTTACAATCTTCTTGCCTCGATCTCCAAAGTAGCTGGGATTATAAGTGCACACCACCACGCCCAGCAACTTTTCACATCTTCTAAGTTCAGATGTCTAGCTCACATAACATGGACTCTTATCACCTTCAATACCTACTTAAAACATCAGGTTTTATGGCTGTTATGTTCATTTGACAGCAGAATTTCATTGTTCATAACAGGATTTCCATCTTTAACTCATGTTTATATCTACTCTGGTACTATAGATATAAATACATACTTACCAATCACAGACCAAGCGAACATCACTGCCACCACAAAAAGCCGAATCATGAAGTTTATTGGTCCCTGCCCAGCCAAAAGCACCAGGCGGCAAATCAGCATTGCAACGGTCAAAGGAAGGATACAGTATCCCAGCACGCATAGGCTCTGAAAGAAAGAACTACAAACAACATACATCCACAAGTCATAAGTATTACTGGGCAGTACCAAGATACATCTTATTGTACAGCTATCTCAGAGGTTCAATGGACTATTGCCTCCTTCCCGCTATCTTATCTATACCTTTATCCTGATGATAATTTCATGAAAGTAGTCCCCTGTATCATAAACTTTCATTTTCTCTATACTCTTCCTGTTTCCCTCTTCAGGCCTTTAGTAGTCAATTTTCTAATATCAGATGATCGACTCTAATTCCTAGAGAGCTCCCATTGATCTTCTAATGTAGTTCTTAATCTATTCTAGTTAGATACCAATTTGAGAATGTGTTTTATCATAGGTTTCCCACAAAAGTATATAACTTCTTAAAGTAAATTTGCTTATAACTTTAAAGTTTTCAGAGAAAATCTGAAGGACATCACTGAATTCCAAAATTTATTTCAATTGAGTAGTTGCTCTATTGTAATGGGAACTTCTTATTTTGTCCTTAAGTCAAATTTTCTTTAAAAAATATCAAAATACCATTGTTTTCCTAAAATCTATGATGTGCTACTAGCAAAGAGGAAAGAGTACATACGATACTCACATGTTGCCGCCAAGAAGTTTTGAATTGAGTGTAATAGTAACCGCTCCAAACCAGACGACGACAAAAACTTCTGCAAATTGTGGTCCTCCATCTTTTTCTCCATCCACAGAGCTCTTTTGTAGCATTCTAAGAAACAGCAATGAAAACTACATAATCTTTTATACAAAGCAAGAAAAACATACATTCTCACCAGACTGCTATGACAAACCTCATCTGAACAACTGTAAGGAATGTATTATACTTTGTATTGTAAGGGAAACACCAATACAATCTGGCAAGGTTTTCTTATTTAAAATCTAAATGCCTAAGGACAATAAGGAGTACTGTATTTTAATCTTTCTGGAATGTATAACTGGATTGTAAAAGCCTCTCTGTCTATGCATAAGTTACTGAACCAAACCTCGCTCACAAATATGAGATATTTTGTTGTTGTTCGTATAACATGTAAAATAGCTTTAAATTTAACAGTATTTTTTGTTTTTTAGTTGGAATGCTTCACCTAAGACTATATATCTGATGGTGGGTTCGGTGATGTGCATCATAAACCCAACTAAGACTGAGGCAGAAGGCTCTTGAGTTAAATGAGAAGAATGTACTTTTCTAGGGAGGATTAGCTCAATGGTAGACAAGAATGTCCACCTTGAATGCATGAGGCCCTCGGTTACATTCCCAAGCAAAACAAAAAAGGAATCTATTCATGGGTTTATGTGAAAAGTCAGATTTTTTTTCACACTGGGCCTCTGAGATTCTAACACAATATTGGGTGGAGATAGCATAGCAACAAGGGCCTTCCAGTCATCAGGTCAGTACTCTATGTATGTTTGTATTACTTTTCTAGCTGTTAGCAAATCTGAGTGTTTGCTTGCTTGCATTTTAAACAAGGTCTGCTTGTGTGGCCTAGACTGGACTTTAATTTGCTATCTTCCTGCCTCAGCTTCTTGAGCACCAGTATTATAGGTACCATGCTCAGTTACAAATTTGTACTTGTTAAAGTTCTAGAGCAAATGGTCAATAATAGAAATAGTCTTTAAACTTATTTAGTTGTGAGTTTTTAAAGATCAGAATATCAATATCATTACTAAAGGACTTCGCTTTGAAGCCAAGTAAATATTGAACTGTCACCTAAATATTTTGTGTCTAAGAATTTAATAGATATAAAATGTTTTAAACTCTGGATTTAGGATACTAAGTGTTTTCCCTAAAAAAAATAATTAAAAAAAAACAAGTTCATAACTTCTTCTTATTACACAGGATAGAGAAATTATATATTAAGTCTTGTTTGGTTATGCTGTGGAAGATTCTGTATTGTACGGCTATGTGTATTCTATTCCAAATCCTGACCATAAGGTGCAAAGAATGGCTGGCACTCTTTGTTGTCTGGAACCCCTATCATTTGAGGATGGTAGGGTGAAAAGAATACTAACTACTCTGGGAGGCAGTTGACTCAGACACTGATCCTAGTTCTGTCACTAGACATGTCATTCAATTTTATCTTAGGACTTCAGTTTTCTCTGCAAATAAGTGAAGGGAAACTACATAAGCTCTAAGGTTAACCTCTTAAAACTAGCATACATCCTTTCAAGGCACTTCACTGGTTCTCTTGGTATGATTACTAAAAGTACAAGTAATATTGCATTATGATCTTAATGATCATGATAGATTTAAAATGTTAATAGTTAACAGTGTTGTGCATACTTGTAACACTAGCACTCAGGAGGCAGAGGCAGGAGAAGCACAAATTTGAGGCAAGCCTTAGCTATATAGAAAGTTCTGGGATAGTATGGGCTACATAGTACAAACCTGTCTCTCTCTTATTTATATATTTATTTATTTTTTCGAGACAAGGTTTCTCTGTGTAGCTTTGTAGACCGGGCTGGACTTGAATTCACAGAGGTCCATCTTCCTCTGCCTCCCGAGTGCTGGGAGTAAAGGTGTGTGTCACCACTGCCTGGCTCAACCCTGTCTTTGTTAAGAGCTCCCAAATACCTAGTCAAATTTTTCCTTAATTTTGGAACTCCATCAAAAAAAGTTTTAGTTCAAATGAAGGAAATGTAATTACTTACAATGCAAGTGTCACACACAGTATTAATGGGCCCCACAAATCCCCTACAAGGAAAGAAAAGACAGGCTGCTAAGAAACAGATATGCCATATTGTCTATTTTTATCCTAATACTCAGCTCTCACTCTTAGAATCCAAGGAGCAAGTTTTACCTAATCCTTCCCAACCTTTATGTCCCCACAAGTCTTAACCATGCCCTTTAAGGTTTGCTCCCTTCTTCAGTCATAAATTACCCTTTCTTCATTTCCTAATCCCCATTCCAGCACATTAAGAGCTATGTACAATCAATATGTCCCCCAAATGTACAAAATATTCAGAACAAAAATTTTGCCTGTGACTTCAGGGTTTGGAGGGAATCAGAATCTCATCAAAGGACTTAGGTGATAATCACCTCAAATTCCCAACTACAGCCAAATCACATTACCAAGCTCAGCTGTGACCACTTTTAAGGTTCATATTTACTGACGAGCTTAATAGAATGAGTCAAGTCTTTTAACTTCTAAAATTCTATTCCAAATTTCTTCTAAAAATTTATATAACTATTTATTTCTGTAAAATAACATCAACTTTATTATATCTGCCTTTGCTTTATAAAGCAGTATTGATAAGGTACCAATGATATGAAGCAAATACTCAAACACTTCCCATACTCACAATCTCGTAGCAAAGCATTACTTTTCCTTGGATATAAAACGTGCATAAATTTCTTCCCCACAGCTTTTAGATCACGCATCTAAAAGACAAAAATAACTTGATATACTATAATGATTAAAGTTACCAGGAAGTCCCCTCCATTTGCTAAAAAGACTAACAACTCACTCTCAAAGAGAAACCCTTAAATTTCAACAGAAAAACATATATTAAAAGTCAAAGAACCAAACAAAAAATATTTGGAAGTATTAGTAGTATTTACTCCCATATCACTAAAGGGGCTTCCCAACTAGTCTAACTTACGATGGTATGGCGAACAGATTCATTTAATGTAGAGTTGTCAAGTTCTCGAGCATGAGCACTCATGGGAATGGTAATCTCTCCTTCTATTGGGATGTCTTGTGAAATAGATATATCAGAAAGGCCCGCAAACTAAGAAAAGATGGGGGAAAGAAAATTAAGCCAATATGAGATTGCAAAATAGCTTAAAAAACACCATTTTCTAGAGTTGGGACTGTAAATTTCATTTGGGTTTTGCATAGTAGTTAAAAGTAAATTTTAGCTCAACATACATTACACAATACAGTACACAATACAGTTAATTCTCAAACATACCTTTTAATTAAAGGCTATGTTATCTAATGTACTATGTCACAGTAAAATAATGCTTGCATTAGTTTATGTACTTTTCACTATTCTGTGATGAGTTTCATTTTCCAAATTAATAAACTCGGATTTAGGGTGAAGGCACCTTTAGGGGTCCCTGCGAAAATTAAGATAATGGCAAGTCCTGGGGTCTTGGGCAGACCAGATGTAACTTTTGTTGATATATATCACTTGTCAAGATTAAGGAGGTCTCCAATGATCAAATCTGACCCATATTGACCTTGAAGGAATCCTCTGCTTCTTGTTTCCTGTGAAAATAAAAGCATAACCTCTCCCCCAAAGCATTTTAGACTTCCATTTGACAAATAAATTTTTGACTTCCATTTTAAAGTTATGACATTCCTAAAGTATATAGGCTTGTTTATTTCAACAGTACCTCTTTCAAAACCCTGTCTCTTAGCAGCTGTCATTTGCTTATCAACAATAAAAAACATTCAACATACAGGATCCAGACTCCCTGTGTATTTCCTGTATCTGTGTTACACAATAAATAAAAGACTCAGAAACTGATATTCTGGTTCAAACTTCAAGCTGAAGATCAGAAAAGCAAAGCAGTTGGTCACTAGCTCCTACTGTACCTCAGCCTGAAAGGCGATCCTGGCTCCACCAAACCTCACACTGTAACTTCTCAGCATGCCTGGAGATTCCTGAGACTTCAACATCTTCCTATCCTCAATGTGGCTGGAGAATGAATCTGATACTGACACCTTGCTCCTGTCTTATATACCTAATTCTGGCATTAAAGGTGTGTGGTCCCAGGTGCTGAGATCATGTTTGTGTGAGCTGTTTCTCTTTAGGACTGGATCAATCTTGTATAGATCTTGATGGCCTTGGACTCACAGAGATCCACCTACCTCTTAATCTTGAGTCTAGGATTAAAGGTGTGTACCACCACCTCCTAGATTCTGGCTGCTGGGATTAAAGATGTGTGCCCTACAGCTTGTGGCTGACTTTGCTTTCTGAATCCTCAGGCAAGCTTTAATAAATGTATTACCATACCTCCATGCAACTTATTCTTTTTTATATATTATTTTATTTCTCTCTTTAAAGACTATTATTTGTAAACAATATCCTTTTTTATGACTGTCTATATCTTCTTTTCTTTCTTAAACCAATGCACATTGTCAAACACACTGTAACCTGTTTAGAGGTTTTTCCCATCTGGAGCTGCCTTTACTGTGCATCTCTAGTCTTTTTTGTGTGTATGAGCAAAAAACTGCTAGGTGGTATGGCTAGGTCCTCTGCTGCAGCTCTGGTGAGTGGCAAAGACCCCTACTCGGGTCCATGAAAGCCCAGCCTAAAGCTTGCAGGCCTGGCTGGAGTGGTGTGACCAGGAACTACATTTAACACCCACAGCATCTTTAGGAAGTGGGTGCTCTGCACTGCACCAGGTATTTTCACTTACCTACAGTCTAAAAGAAGACGTGTATTTGGAGGGTTATGGATGTTTGTTATTATTTAGAGAAATATAGGCTAAAGAGACAACTATTAATCTCAGATATTTTGCATTGTCATGGATTTTGGTATACTAATACAAATTTAAAGGATTTTTGTTGTCCTGTATGTATATATCTCTACTGTTGTTTGGAGCATTGTATGTACATTGTGTGCAATGTATAAACAATAAATGAGGTTAGTGGTTAATCTATAATAATCAAAAAAATAAATAAACTCGGATTTAATGTGATCCATAAGAAGATCCAATTACCTTCTCCCTTCAGTGCTGGGGACTGGACCTATAAGACACTGCATATGCAAAACAAGCACTGTACCACAGAGCTATATTTCCAGACACAATACACTCTTTGATAGTTTCATTCCTGGTGCCTAAAATACTGTCTGGAACACAGTAGACATCCAATAAACATTTGCTGAATGGAGAGGTGAACAAATAGAGCTAGTGAGGAGCAGAGTCAGGACTAGGACCAAGTTCACTTCCCTCTCACTTCAGTTCTCTATTGTTAAGCTGCCAATTTAAAACAAAAGAAATGGAAACATTTATCGAGCAAACACTATAAGCAAATACTGTTTGGGAGGAAGAACATCAGGGCATAACACTGACTTCCTTATACTCTTCCATTCATGGCCTTGACTGTATTAGGCACTTCATAAAAGATTATGTCATTTTATCTTCCTGAAAACTCTTAAAGGCAGATACCTTCATTTTAGTTTAGGAGATAAAGACCCTCTATTGAAATGAATTTCTTAAACTCACACAGGCTTCATTGTGAATGGACTCCAGCCCACCTAATTTTACCTGTAAAGCCTGTATTTGTACGCGCTGTGGCTTTTACTCTAAGTGTCCCGAAGGGGATGACAATGACCTGGACATAATAATGACCCGAGTTACAGGCAATAAAATGACAACGACCTCTGGGAAGCAGTTTGTCGTTACTTCTGGTGTACGTGTACGTCATAACGGCTGGAGACAAGTCTTGATAAAATGACAGTGAGCGATACTTCAGAAAACACTCAAAGCTCAGCATTTAGCGCAATTCATTGGACAAGTATTCCCTAGTGTACAAGGACAGGAGAGATTCGCGAAAAGGCATAGGACAGCGGAAGGAGGGGAAAGAGTTAAATGAAAGAACAGGTGCTGTGCTAACAACTGATTGTAGCTGTAAAGGCATGCAGGGCCAAGGACCTCTAGCTCTCTCAAGCTCCCGACTGCCGTATGGGGAGTTCTGCCTCACCCCTGGTCCCTTCTGTAACAGTACCCTAGCTCACCAAAGGCCTAGGCGTCGCTGTCTCGTGTTCTCCGGGAGACTCCTCGGCTTCCGCCATCTTGACACACCTTCGTCCGGGTCGCTCCCATGAGCCTTTGCGAAATCTGAGACGTGGAGAACAAGGCTGGTGAGAGTGCTGCCGCGTAAAGATGACGTCACAGCAGGCGCCCGAGTTGACTGCTGCAGCGCGCTGCCTCTCCCTGTGCTCCGGTAACCTCTGGGCTGGAGCTCGAGTTCCTCGTTGCTCACTGTGGGCGAGCCGGTACCGCTAGATGGCGTTCCGGCTTTCACGCCCTCTAGGAGCACAGGCTCATCTACCCGAAGCGCCCCCGATGCCCAGAGGAGAATGGCTGAATGAAGCGGAACACGAGCGCAGCCGAGCTGAGCGGCGGACAGCAGAATACAACCGAACCTAGCCAAGCACAGCTGAGCCCGGAGGCGCACAGCCGAACCTAGCCGAGCCCAGCGGTGCACAGCCGAACCTAGCCGAACACAGCCGAGCCCAGTGGCGCACAGCCGAACCTAGCCGAACACAGCCGAGCCCAGCAGTGCACAGCCGAACCTAGCCGAACACAGCCGAGCATGGAGGCGCACAGCCGAACCTAGCCGAACACAGCCGAGCATGGAGGCGCACAGCCGAACCTAGCCGAACACAGCCGAGCCCAGCGGCGCACAGCCGAACCTAGCCGAACACAGCCGAGCCCAGCAGTGCACAGCCGAACCTAGCCGAACACAGCCGAGCCCAGCGGTGCACAGCCGAACCTAGCCGAACACAGCCGAGCATGGAGGAGCACAGCCCAACACACTCGAGCTCCCGGCACACAGCCGAACACTGTCGGACGCTGCGTGGTCCAGCTGAGCCCAGTCGAACCCAGCCGAACTCAACCGAACCTAGCGATGCCTAGCTGAACATATTCCCACCAGCACCACTGCTGAACTAAGCGGCATCCAGTCAATCCTACATAGCTGAGTCAAGACGCGCCCGGCCAGCACCAGCTGAAAGCAGCTGAGACTAGCAACGTTTGACAGGGCCAGTTCATAGGCGAGTTCTGAAGTGCCTGTCTCCGTGTACCCCCAACCGGGCTCCCTTCTAAGAGAAAAGAAAAAGGCCTTCAACTTCAAGCTGAAGAACCTGATTCTCCTGACCCAGGGCTCCTTCTTCTGCCGCCTTTGCCCTATTAGTTCCTTAGCCAGCTTCCATCTCTTTCGAGTCAGTCCTTAAATCTCTGTACCTGTCTTCCCACCGAGCCTACAAAAATTTATTCTTCATCCCCTGTGGAAAGGGAGAGCTTCACTGACCTAACTTTCCAATCCCACTACACCTTTGATGTTGCAAAGCTATTTGGTGGCATGTACTGAAAATGTCCTTGGTTCAGTAGTGGCACCTGTGTAGGTGGTGGGTAGGGGTTAGTTACTGTAACCCGAAAAAAAAATGCCCCTTCTCGGACCAACGTTGATTCCCTACCGCTTGCTCTGGCTCACCTCCTGCCCCAAGCTTGAATGAGGTCAAACAAGGCAGTCGTTGTTGATGCTGTCAGCATTTTCCCTACCTAGCTGCCTTCTGAACCTGGGGCTGGGAGGGGGCAGAAATGCCCATTTTAGGCAATTAACCAAGAGGGGTAGGATATGAATGAAAGGCACTGAATCATGTTTTTGGATAGGTAGTTCAGGAAGGAACCCAAATAACCAATGAAGGATACGTAGAATATGGAAAACCATACTTTCCAGAGTAAATTTTGGGGGATGGCTGTTAATTATTTTACTTAAACGTTAGTAAAATAAGTCTCCTTCAAACCAAGTTTTCAGTACTTAAACAAATATTCGTGGAAGTGATAACAGAATTTAAGCTTTGCCAGGGCTGTGGTGCTTGTTTATAATCCCAGAGGCAGGAGGATTGTTGTAACTTTGAGACCAGTCTAGTCTATATAGAAAATTTCAGGACACTCAGGGCTACCTGGCATTTTGTCTTAACAAATGTTTTAGGGTAGTTGATATGAACTCCTGTTTTAATTGCAAGAAAATTTTATATGCAGGGCATGATAGCTCAAGCCACCCAGTAATCACATCATTAAGAGATAGAGGAAGGAAGATTAGGAGTTAAAGATCGTCCTGGGCTACATACAGACCAGTTTCAAAAACTAAACAACAAAATGTCTTACACACTGCCTCAAAGATAGCCTTGGCATCCCATCCTGATCCCTCATCTGGATACCATTTTACCCTGTCTCCCACACGTATCCACTCACTAGCACCCAGTTTTCTTATTTTTTTTTAACCTCTAACTTCACCTCTTCCCTTGTTTACCACTTTTTCAAGATGCCATTAATAGGTAAAGAGGAAGAAAGGCTATAAAAGAAGCCAATAAGTTTTTGGGATTATTTCAGACTATCAGTGCTCCCTTTTCTCAGTTAAACAAGGGAGTATAGATCGGGTGTGATGCTATGAGCTGACAAAAGGAAGGTTGTGAATGAAAAGGGTGGTATAAGAGTTTTTAAAATGGAGTAAAAAGAGGAGAGGATGCAGATCACAGAAGGCAAAATGGTATAGGATAAGAGAGGGAATATATGAGATATGGCTGAAGTGTGTACTATAGAATGTCTTACAGTAGAGTGAGTGGAAGCAGCATTCAAATCTAACTGAACAATACACAAACAAAATAAAAATTATCGTTAAGGTATATATGCATATATATAACAGTGAATATTAAATATTTGAAAATAAGAACTAAAAAGAATGCTCATCAAGTGAATTGCCAGCAGAAATACAGAGTTGAAGGGTGAAGTTCTCAGATTTCTCTGCCTCTAGCACACTCCACTTGGTGTTGTTTGGGAAGGGTTGAGTGGGAGCCGTTGGTCTTTTGCAGCCTCTGTATTAGATTGGGTTCTGGTGTGTATGTGGAGGGGTAGGAGGTTATAAGTTCCCACTTGGAAGTCCCCTGAACCCTGCACTGTACATTAGTGTCTTGTGTTGCTGCTGGTTCATTTTATATGACGGATACTACTTCCTTTGCAGTTTCTACAGTTCTTCCCTGGGCAGCTTGATTCAGCTAGCATGGTGCTGACTCCAGAGGATTTGTAGCCAATCTCTAATTCTCAGCAATTCCACCTGCTCCCTGTAGAATTCTTGTCTCACTGTAATTCATTTCTACTAGAAGCCACTTCCTAAATGTTGCATTACCTCCTAGTTGTGCCACAAGCTGGTCAAGGCTTCAGTGCATGGGCCTTTGGGGGGGACAATTAAAACATAAACTACAATAAGGACAGAGAAACTTAGGTTTTTAAACAGTGAAATGGTAAGGAGATGGTGTGCAGCCCAGAGAGAAAACATACTCATCTAATGACTTTCCTTCTTTTCCTGCTTGGTTCTTCCTTCTTCCCTTCTTCTGTTGCATGGGATCACGTTGCAATATCAAATGTATATGAAATCCCGGTTTGGGCTCTGCTCTGTACAGAAAGCCCAAGAATATACAGTGTCCCAACACAGTAAAATACATTTAACTATATTTTAATGCTTTACTACTTTCTCAGGCATTCATTTGAACTGGATTAATAACACTACTCCCATTAAATTTATCTATGGTATTAGAGATGGAACCAACAACCTGGAACATGCTATACACTCCTAACACCTATATTTGTATTTTATAAAAGGTTTATTTTTGTTGATGTGTAGGACTGTTTCACTTACATGTATGTCTGTTGTACCACATACACGCCCAATGCACAGAGAGTCCAGAAGAGGGCATAGGATCCCTTGGAATTGGAATTACAGACTACAGACAGTATTGAGCTAAGTAGACAGTGCTCTTAGCCACTGAGGCATTTCTCCAGCTCCCCCTTTCTCTTCCTAATTATAGCCTTTCATACCTTAAATGATGGCATCTCAACTTTCTCCTCCCGGCTACTTTGCTCCCCTCTGGTGTTTTTCTTTTCAAAGTAGATCCAATATTCAATTCTACTATTATCCACCATACTTCTCTCCCACATTTAATCTTACTAAAATCATAACATCATTGGTTGTTTATCCTCCAGCAGTTATTTAAGTAAAGGAGCTACTATTGTCAAATAGAGTGTACAATATTTTCACAGTGAAAATATCAAGGAGCTATCATTATCCTTGTATTTAGTATTCTACTCAGGGTCTAATATAAAACTTGCCTCAGATACCGTGAGCTCCTGTTGCATCAGACACTCTGAGGTCCTGGATTGAGGAACTATTTTTTTTTTTTTTTTTTTTTTTTTTTTTAGCAAAACACTTAACTCTACTACTTCCAAGTCTCAAATCAACATTGCTAATACTTCAACTGAATGAACATAGATGATAAAAACAAGCCAAAACAAAAAAACAAAACAAGCCATGATATGATATCAAATGCCAACATCCTAATTCAGTAATATAAGAAAACATGAAAAGCTAAGACTATATAGTTCCTCAAAACAATGCAAATTAATTGGCATCCAAAGAGAGGTAATTAGATGAAAACCCAGACAGAGAACTCAAAAGAATAGTTTTTAGGTATTTTCAAAGAAATCAAAGACACTAAGCACACAAACAGCTGAATAAGTAAAAGAAGGAATTTTTAAAAAGCAGCTTGAATTGAGGTATCCTGCATGCGTGGATAAGGGTGCTCTGAGAAGCCATTGATTATTAAACAAAAGTATCAGGGCCAAGTGTGGAATATTTCTCTATGTTGTTAGTTACAAGGTTCCAGAGGTCCCCCTTCCTAAAATACAATTATTGCTATTTTCATTGGTTGACCAGCAGAGCAAGACGAGAAGACCCTATTACTGAAGATAGTATATGCTTTGGTTGTAGAACATAGAGATATCAAGCTGGAACTGACCAGGAAACTTCCTCATTACTGGCTAGCTTTAACATTGTTGGAAGATGCTACGTAGGCCACTGGGAGACAAAAGTCATCGATGCTCTTACCCAGTGGTGAACCCTCAATGTTACAATAGTGACCATCAGGGAAGATGTATCCACTCACTGGTGAAATAGTAACATGAATGCTATAGAGAATATCACTTTCAGATTAGATCTGAGACCTGCTTCACAGGAGAGTACTCATTCCTGGTTCTGCAAATCAGATCAAAAGGTCATAGTTGGGAAAGTCATA